CCACTCTATATATAGCACTGAGGGGGAGGGGAGCGGAGTTTTCCTGCCAAAAACCATTAGCTTTCTAATCTTTCCGGCCTTAGGCACTGCACAGGCACAGCACCCATATGTGTGATGCACAGAGGCCATGACGAAGAATAGCTAATAAGGATCTGTAATCTGACTATAACTATGTCACTAAATACTTGTGGTTTTTTTCTCTGATACATAACATATCATAATTAAAAAATAAGACTGAACTTGATATAAAAACCATTATAGCTTATCAATAAGAGGTGTTGAAACCTATTCTTATGATCAATGCTTTTGAACCCTTTCTTATTCTGGGGATCTGTTCTGACAACTTTAGAAGTGCGCACTTACAGCTACTTCCACCAAGCAGAAATGGCTGGATCCTGGTAGTAAAATGGACCATGCCCTGTCATTGCAAGAAGTTAATTTCTATCTTTTGTGTGGTTTGGTTGGTTGTTCTCAAAAGTACAACCCAAACAGCAAGTTCAGGCATTGCTATTGTAAAGGATAGCTAATTTTGCTATTGAAAGGCAAGACAATGATTTTTAGCACTATCCATGATTTGTTGTATTATCTTGATTAAGATCCTCAAAGTATAGGGAAACCATGATTTGGTAAAATACAATACAATACAATACCTTGCATCTGAAAATGGCTTAATCATTATTCGCCCAACACAGGCAGGGGTAACACAAGCAAAAGTTTGTGTCAAGCCATGCTTTCTTATATCCCTGGGTATGGCTAATCCTTAACTGTATTTTAGGGACAGAGACGTAATTCATAAACCATGATTCCTGAAAACAAGTCATGGTTAAGCTGTGCATCTGCATAGAAAATTAGCAGATGACAGAAAAGTAGTTCTTAATCTATACGGTACACTATACTTTGGGCCAGGCTTAAAACCCGGATTGTACTTTACTAATTGGTCAGATATAACTTTAAAATATGCATCTATTCAACTAGCGTGCAACTTGATCACTTTATCCTCACATCCTATAGTATAAAATCAGACAGCAGAAGTCTAACAGAGGCTAAACAGGGACACAAGTGCTCTCCTGCATTATTCATCATCATTGGCACTGAGCAGCAATAGCCCTTGAGACCTTTTCACATTAGCTTCCTTACCACCAAGACAAAAATAAAGGAAAGGTCTGATGGATGATTGGTCCTTCGGAAAGATTCATGGCTTACATTTGATTCTCATCACAGTAGTGAAGCTCTTGGCTATGCATTCCCTTCGCAGGCTTTACTTTGGATGTTTGGCAGGAATAATTTGGCAGCTGTACAGCACTTCTTTCCTGAATGCAGATTCATTTTCCCATGTGCTTCTTGTTTTCTTCACTGCTGTTTGTGTCGTGCTTTCCCCAAATAGTTACAATAAAGATTCAGTTCCATAAAGTTGTGCCATCCAGTGCTTTAAAGACTTTGCATGTCCCAAGTTATGCCAGAAAACCATCAACCATGGTATCCTTCTGGATAGGCTAGCGGGATTGGGAGTTGGAGGCACCGCTTTGCGGTGGTTCCACTCCTATCTCAATGGCCAATTCCAGAAGGTGGTGCTGGGGGACTATGGCTCTGCGCCATGGCAGTTATGCCATGGAGTTCCGCAGGGGTCCATTTTGTCCCCCTTGCTATTCAACATCTACACGAAACTGCTGGGAGAGGTCATCAGGAGGTGTGGGCTGTGGAATCATCAGTACGCTGATGATACCCAGCTCTACCTCTCATTCTCCACCAATCCAGGTGAGGCAGTGGCTGTACTGAACTTGTGCCTGGCCGAGGTAATGGGATGGATGAGGGCCAATAAACTGAAGCTCAATCCAGACAAGATGGAGGTCCTGTTGGTGGGTGGCTCGGGCTTCAGGGTGGGGGACTTGGGCCTTGTCCTAAATGGGGTTGCACTCCCTCTGAGGGACAGGGTTCACACCTTGGGAGTGCTCCTCGACCCTAAGCTGTTGTTAGAAGCTCAGGTGACGGCGGTGGCGAGAAGCGCCTTCCTTCAGCTCCAGCTGATCCATCAGCTGCGTCCCTATCTGGAGAACGACTGCCTGGCGACAGTGACCCATGCATTGGTAACTTCCCGACTAGATTTCTGTAACGCACTCTACGTGGGGCTACCCTTGAAGATGGTCCGGATAGTTCAATTGGTGCAAAATAGAGCTGCCAGGTTGCTGACGGGGACTGGGCGTTGTTCTCATATAACCCCAGTTCTCCGTCAGCTTCACTGGCTTCCCATTGAAGTCTGGGGCCAATTCAAGGTGTTGGTTATGACCTATAAAGCTCTTAACTGCTTGGGACCTGGTTATCTAAGGGAACGTCTGCATCCATATATGCCCGCCCGTGCCCTACGATCGGCAGCGGATGCCGTTCTCCGGGAACCCTCCATGAAGGATATTAGGAGGGTGAGTACCCGGAGGAGGGCCTTTTCTGCGGTGGTGCCCCACCTATGGAATGCGCTCCCCAGAGAGGTCCGCCTGGTGCTGTCATTATTTGCTTTTCGGCGCCAAAGACCTTTTTATGTAAAAGTTATTTTAACTGTTAATTTATTATTATTGTATTTATAGATTTTAATATATAGCTGAGATGGTACCAGTTTTTAAATTATTGATTGTAGTATATTGTATTTTTATGGATGTTGTGAGCCACCACGAGGCTTTGTTGCAATGGGGGCAGCATAGAAATGTTTTAAATAAATACATACATACATACATACATACATACATACATATATAAGAAAATTGCTTAAAATATTTGCTTAGTACAAAGTTTCTGTCTAGTGTACCATGTTTCCACTGCCAACATAAACTCAGGTCTGCAATGTACTAGGTGTATCATCTCGGCTGCTCTCTTGCTGAGAAGTTTTCTCGCTGTTCCGTCCAGCTGCAAAACCAGGTAAAATGGAGCACTGCCACTGGTAGTCACATGGCCTGTGGGCTATATGGTGACTGGCTTCCATAATGTGCAAGACTTGCTAAGATTCATCTGGCAGAGGGAAGATTTTCAATAAGGCAATAATCATTCTGGCCTTACATGGTTGTTATAAGAATTACTGACATAATGTATGTGATGCACTTTGAATCCCTGGAATGTGCTATGTAAATACTAAGAATTGTTAATCTATCTGAGCAGGAGTCAGCTTACTGAATTGCGGTCAATCCTTAGGTACTGAGAGCAACAGTCATCGTCAACTGATGGTGATCCTAAGAATAAATGCCTCCCAAAAGGTCCTGTCCTGCACAGCCCTGCTCAGCTCTTGTAAAGTCAAGGCTTTGGCTCCATTTATGGAATGGATCCCTCTCATATTTGGGTTTACTCTTCTCTCTTCAACTTTCCCTGGCATGAGCGTCCTCTTGAGTGAGTCTTGCCTTCTTATGATGTGCCCAAAGCACAACAGCTTCAATTTTGTCAGTTTTGTTTCTAGGGAAAGTTCTGGCTTGATTTGAACTAGGACAAACTTGTTCATCTTTTTGTTGTGTATTTGCAAAGCTTTCTTCCAGCAGCATGCTTCAAATGCATCAGTTTTCTTCCTATCAGCTTTCTTCACTGTTCAGCGTTCACACCCAGACATCCAATCAAGCATACAGTACTGTGGATAATCTTAGCCTTGTTCTTCAGGCCATCCTTAATCTTTTCTAGTCCCTTCATTACTGCTCTATCAAGGCTGATTCTTCTTCAGATTTCTTGGTTGCAGTATCCCTTTGAATTGATGACTGAACCAAGGTATGTTAAATCTTTCACAATGTCAGTTCCTTCATTATTGACCATTTCGACCAGTTTGAGCTCATATAATTCTTTTGTGGCCATGATTCTCATTTCCTTAATGTTCAGCTGCTGTCCTGTTTTCACACTTTCTTCTTTCACTTTCATCAGGAGTCATTTCAACTCAGTGCTGCTTTCTCCCAGTAGTATGGTATCATATGCATATCTTAAATTAGTGCTGTGTCTTTTGCCAATTTTCACTCCTTCTTCCTCTGATCCTAATCCAGCTTTTCATATGGTATATTCTGCATACTCACTGAACAGATAGAAAAATAAAATATTCTCTTGTCCAATGCCTTTGATTATATAAGGAAACCATTCTGTTTCTTCATACTCTGTTGTAACAGAAGCTTCTTGTCCACAATACCTGTTGCACACACCAGGACAATTAAATTCTGAGGCATTAAATGCTGAGACACTCCCATTCCTTGCAGGACTGTCCATAGCCTCTCAAGATCCACCTAGTCAAAAGCTTTGCTGCAGTCTATAAAGCATAGACTGACATTTTCTGATATTCTTTGGTGCGGTCTAGTAACCAACATATATTTGTGATAGGATGCATAAAACTCTGTCTATTTTAAAAACAGTTAAAATAATCAAAGGGATAATACAATAAATGTTCATTTTAATTACATTCCATTGAAATCTATTGCATTTAAATTCCTCATGATCCTTTCTCTGGGCATGCAACTTCATCTTTTATATACTACATTGTATATAGTCCTAAGTTATACTGTTGGCTTTACTTCCAAGAAAATATGCACAATCCTGTTAGTCAAAGTTAATACTTAGATATTATGGTTCTGCATAAATGTTTAGAATGTGTTTATCAAGTCCTGTTCTCAAAAGCACTTTCTTTTCTGTCTTATGAATGTGAGTCAATGTAAACCTGGGACACCTCTGATTAGAACTCATACTTTTTGTTTCAAGATAAAAGCAGCTTTCCAAGGCCAGTCAGACTGAGGCCAAAGTGCTATGGGAAGAGGTAGATGGTCCTGTGTTATTTTCACAATTTTAAATAATCCTTACTCTGATGCATCAATTTTTCTATTTGTCCTGAGGTAAAAAATATACCTGTGAATTTTCCTGGTTAGTTTCCATGTTTCTTCCAAATATAAATAAATAAGTTTGTAATTCCTACCAAATATTTCTTCAATATGTTCCAAACTTGAGCATCAACATCTGAAAATTTTTGTTTACCATGTTCTTCATAAATAAAGATCACTAACCTGAGGCAACTTGGGTGGAATTGGTTCATTCCGAAGAACCTGAAGTGCTTTTGTTGCAGCGTTGTGTCTAGCAGCTTGGCGAGTCTTCCCCTCACCAAAAAACTCATGTCCACCCACAGTCAACTGGACATAGAAAATCTTGGGCACTGTGCAGTGGTATCTAGGAAAAAGTTATGGGCAAGTTAATCCCTCATTCTAAGTCGAATCCACACACCAGATATTTGGCCATTGCTGTATATTAATGGGGAAATAATATTTGAAATATACCAATATTAATAAATATAGTGCCACAACACTCCAGTTAGGTAAAACAATTGAACGTATTTTAATTGATTAAAAGGGTGCAACTGCTTAACTTGGCAGTGAATTAAAATATGTTTTAAAGTGTTTTTTACTTTTTTCCCCTTTTTGCAGGCAAAAATTGCATACAGCAGGTACCTTCCTCCTGCCTGCTCCCCATCCTCCCACTGCTGTTATCATCGCCATCACATTGCATTTATATTCCACCTTTTTCCTTTTGCAAGAAACCAAAGGAGGCTTACACAGTCTTCCTCCTCTCCATTTATCCTCATGACAGTAACTCTGGGAGGTGGGTTGGGCTAAGACCGAGTGACTATACGAGAGTGTACTTCTTAGGATAGGAATATAATGCACCATATGTGCGTACGTGTTAAAAAAGTTGTGGGCTGTCATGCATGATCAGGAGAGGGCAGGCGTGCTGTGTGGGGGCTTACCCACCACTTCCAGTTTTATTCAGCAACCCATGAGCAACCCCTTTGTAGATGGCAAAAACCAGACAAAAACCAGGGATTAAAGAACCCAGCAATTGCTTGTTGTTAGGTTAACTGTTGCATTTTTTTTAAAGTGCTAAACAATGCAGAGGTCCAGGTTGGCACATCAATTTATGAACAGCTGCTCGTGGGTTGCTGAACAGGCAGCACCCTCACTCTCTCCTCCTCTTCCCTAAGAGCCTGTAGTTTGCTTACCCCTAAGTTGCTGTTATGTATGAAGTGGCCCAATCTGTTTATTCCAGTGAACAGACAAATCTAAAACTTAGGTCTAGCACTCTACCACTGACAGCCAGGCAGATTCAAGGGCACAGTGAAGCTAGGATATCATACCATGCTTAACATACTTAAACAATGTTAAGAGCTTGGACCATAACAACTATAATTTCCCAAGATATGACTCTAAACAGTTATCATTTCTTAGCATTTTGGAACTAGAATGAACATGGAAAGCCCTTAACAAAACTTGCTACACTGAAAGATTTTTTTGTTAGCAAAATGTGTGTGTGTATGATATTATGAGATATGTCATGACAGAAAAATGAACAAACAAAATGAAGCAACCTTCTTCTGTCACCTCAGGCATGTCAGAACAAGATAGGAACATTAAAGCCAAGGTAAACTCTCTATTTCTCCTCCCTGTTGTATAGGTGAAGACCTAGTCAATGAATTGTGTTGGGGAGAGTAAAGCTTACCTTCAATAAAAATAAGCCCTCCTTTTCATGTCTACATATCAGCTGGGTGTTGCTCTCAAGATTATGTCTCCATGTATGACAAGGTTTTTGGGTTGCTTAACTACAATCAAAAGGACAACTGCTTGGATTCCCTGTTTTAGAGGAGTCTGTCATCACTAGCTAGTGGTTAAGAATGCCAGCTCAGGCCGGTTATTTATCACAGCAGCATTCTGCTGTTCTGCCAAGGAGTTCAGGACAGTATAGTAGGGATCTCTAGTTGTATCCTCAATAGATCTATGAAGTAGTGCATGGCAGTATGGAAATTTGAAGTGGCATTTCCCTGATCAAAATCACATATACCTATCTTGTATCTGTTCCTAAAATATTTAGCAGATGAAATTGCCTTTGTGTTGAGTTTCATCTTTTTTTCTGAAGTCCAGTGCAGTCAAGTCCAACTGGCACAAGCTCCCCAATGTCTTAGGCCAGGAATGGGAACCTCAGGTGTGGGAGCCAAACCTGGCTGGCTGGTGTTTCTCAGATAACTATATAGCCCTCTTTTCCCATGGTTCCACCCCTTTCCTTCAGTCAAAAGTTGTTTGCTAGTGTACTGACTTTAGTGTAGTGCTGTCCTCTTTCTGAAAGGTTGAAATCTCTCACCAGATCCTTAATTCCTAGAAATAGGAGCTTTATGCCAGAATGTGTTTTTCTGTGCTTTTCGTGCCCCTGAAATGTGGGCCTCTGGAAGTTCCACTGAAATTGAATTAAGCCTTTGTCCCGAAAGGGGTTCCCCACTCCTGGTTTAGGTTGAACCCTTTTCCAGCCCTGCCCCTGGAACTGTTGATGCTAGGGAAAGCCAAACTTCTGTTCAACGACCACTATACACTCTACTTGGATCATCTGGAACCCAAATATACTTTTGGAAGCTAACTACTTACCATCACTTTGTGTCAACTATATTTCAAATGCAGCCTCTCTCTTAACTCTTTTTGTGCAGCTCACTAATAGCACATATCTATTCCAAAATAACTTCCACTAAGGTGTGTCAAGGGATGCAGCTCAAATTGATTTCTTAGTGCAAACATATCAAAGACCCGTGTACCACCTTATCAAAATGTATTGGGCATGTGGTTTTGTAGAGAGGACCAGAAAATAACCAAGGTACTTTCACCCAGATTACAGATACAGAGAATTGTTCTTTTGGTCCCTGGTTGAATCAATACAATCTAAGGGCACAACCACGAGGCCTAAACCAGTTCTAGCACAGGGATGGTCAGGGAAGTGCTGGATGCAAACAAAGTTTGCTAATCCCAATGCAAACTTAATTGGGATTAGTGCCACTGAACTCAATGGGATTTATTTCTGGGAATACATTTATAGAACCATGCTGCGTCTCACATAGGAAATTCTTGCAGCCCTAAGAACCCTGCTTTTGGGTAACAGCTATCAAACATTTCAGAAAGTGAGAACAGTATATAAACCCTTCAGCACAAAATTCACTGGTATGACGGAGAGTTCCATAGGAGATGCCTCATTAACTCCAATGGTGCTTATATGGGCAGAATGCCAGGTGGACTGCACCCAACATATTTAGCATATGGTTTGTAAATACAGTTTAATGTGCTCAACAAGTCAATTTCTAAGATAAGCATCTATTTTTATGAGACCACTAGCATCACTAAAGTATTAAAAGCATTCAACTAGAAATAAGCATTTAAACTATAACCGCAGTATGCAAGGCTTCAGCAATAAGTAAATGTTTACATCTCGTTCTCAACATCTAAAAACAGGGGTTCATAACATGCCTTCAAGTTGGTGTGATCAGGCGCCATTGTAATTAAATAAATTGCTATGGTCTGTTGACAATTACAAAACTCATTTTGGTTTGCCACAGAGGAAAACAAATTTCAGTTCATTATAATTTTACTGGAATATGATGTCATAATACATAAGCATGCTGAAACAATCTGCTTCTTTTCTAGTCAAAATATTAATTGCATACTAAGGATCCCAAAGGACTTTTCCATCTATGGCCATCAAATGCACACAAAGACAAATAAAACATTACTGTATCAAATAATGTGTTCATGTTGCATTTCCTGTATTTCTGCAAATCCCACGATGGCATAAACATTCCTGGAAGAGTGCATGCCTTTACAAACCTCTTAACAAAACAGGTAATGTATCACATGAAACAGTGTCTGTGCATATACAATTTCCCCTTTGCTGTGCAAATTATATTTGCTGGTTTCCAGAATAAAGCAACTTAAATTAGGGGTACTGGTTCCTCTCTTCACTATTTTCCTAAGTTCCTCCTAACCCTTTGGGTGAACACATTAGAATGAGTGAAAACTTCTCCAGTGAAAATTTTTGGTCCAAAAATGGGGACTTCCAGGGCCTCCCCTAATTTTTCCCAAAAGACCCCAGAAAACATCATCCATTTTTGCACAGGTCCATGGCTGTTTATAATCCTGAGCCTGTTCACATAGAATTCAGCTCTGGAAGGATCAGTTGCTTTTGTTTTTGTTTGAAATCATCTTCCTTTCAAGAAACATTGGTGTTTTTATACAGCCAATGTGGGAGCAGATGAAGCGTGTAAAGTGAGGGCTCCTGACAGCTTTATTTGCCCTTGGTGTCACCGTCACATAGCCAGTCTTATGGCTTTGTGATATTAGTATCACCCTAGAGGAGGAATTCCAATATGCCTGGGACAACCAGTTTATCTAGTCATTTAATGGGTGGGACCCATTTAATGGGTGGGACCCATTAGATGATATTATCATCTTGGGTCATAAGTATTTCACTTTTTACTTGTTTTACATTAACATAACACAGAATTCTAATTAGAAATAAGTTCCACTGAATTCAATGGGATCTACTCTGGTACGTGTATATGAAATTGTAGTGTTAGAAAAAAATATCAAAATTTGCTAGTGAAATCAAACTGTGAAATTGGTAATTTTTCTAGTTTGTCTTCTAAAGTCTGGTTAGAAAAATTGGTCCATATTTACAAATGTTTAATGTCTTCATAACACACTGTGCATATCCATATTTTGTAACTTGCTCTGTGAATGCCACTGTGTGTCTGTGTTATTTGAAAATTCTCAGTAAAAATATTTTAAGGATCCACACTGACCATCAAGCATTTGCCTAAAACTGCAAAAATTAAAATGTACATGCCTATTTTTATTCATGGAAGCTTACACATTTTTGAATGCAAGCAAAATACTAAAAATTACTGATTTGTGTTTAGATTCTGGATGTCCCATATTGGCTGACTTAAACATTTACCTCCGCATTTCCAAATTAAGCTTAGATCTATATTTTATTGTTTTATCAATTATTACATTTATATTTCAACTTTTTCATTCTTTCAAGGAACTTTCACATGGCCTTCCTCATCCTCCATTTTATCCTCTCAACAGCACTATGAGCTAGGTTAGGCTAGTCCAAAGTGATCTTCCTGGCCAAGTGGGGACTTGAACCCAAATCTTCTGAGTCCCAGTTTACAGTTCTAACCACTATACCATGCTTATCTACACCTTAGCCAGCCCTGGTCTACTAGACCCAGCTAATGAGATTTTAGTTCTACTCTACACTGTACCACACAATCTGCTACAGTTGCCTATTGGTAAGATCATATCAGCGATAGAGCACGTATAGAGCATTCATTAGCAAGTGGACTTAGTGTGTACTTTTAG